TGCAATGACTTGTGTCTGACTCACACTTTACATGTGAACCATGTGTCCATCATTCAGGCTTGAAGATTTTCTTTCATCTTGTGCGTGTACCAACAGTGACTGTGCATCAGGCTGTGAGGGTACGTAACAACGGAAATACAAGGCTTGTGTAAATCCTAACGAGTATGACTTGATACAACAAATATGATCAATGATTTGTGTCTCAAAAACAAATAGATGGCAGTCAAGAAATAAAATATTAAAAAAATAAGATACTTGTTGACATCATATAAGGCTGCATTTCCTGTACTACTGTGTTTCCCCCCCACTGAGCAATGCTGAAAAAACTGTCCTGGAGCTGAACCTAACTGCTGACCCCTGCTTTAAAGGCCGGGTCCCGAGATATTCTAGCCACTGTAGTTCATTTTGAGTCAATCCAACATACAGTACACCATGTGCAGCTATATTCACAAGAATAAAAAATGTGTATTAAATCAGAGCTGAAAATAGTCCCCAGTAAATGCCAAACATATACGTGAGCCAGGTTTAAAGATTTATGTGTCAGGAGAAGCAAGTGGCCTTAATGCTGACTAATGCAAACAGGGGAGAGAAGTCTGAACGTTTTTAGGAACTGACTAACACTGGATTTGTTAACAATAATAAAAATATAGAATAACACGGGCCTTACCCTCTGATGTGACGTGATATGACCTACAAGACTTGTAGTGATCCCTTTACAGCAGTTGACACCATTATAGGAAAAGAGAGTACTGAGATTTCTAATATGACCATCATTCTTAATATTTGTCGTGCTTTGTTGTGTCTTTTCACGTTTTGATTTTTGCATTCACTTCAGTGTTTGTCTGTTTCTGTACATGCATTATCTTTATTGTATTCTCCGATTCACAAAATAAATCAAGACAAAGTAAAAAAAAAAAAGGAAAAAGGTGTTTTTTTACCTCACTTTTTAATCCAGCACATTGAAAGCAAACTTGTCTTCTTTCTTCCTATAACACACAAACCCACTCAGACACACACACACACACACACACACACACACACACTCATACACTTTCACTCTGCTGTAAGTTGGTGACATGAGTCCTTGGAAAGTGCAGTATTCAATTTGTAACTATTATGGAGACAAGGACACAGTCCTTTATGTGAGCAGCCACAGAGAGAAAATGGAGGCAGTCACTATAGCAACCGCCAGAAGAGCGCCCAACAAATCAACAAACAATGGAGTACAAGACTTTTCCAGGGGAGCCATTTAATGCAAAGCCTTGAATCATACAAAGTTGTCCTCTTAAGTTTCTGAGACCTGTCTTGGAGTGTCTGTGGGTATCTAAGGCCCGAGTGTTTGGTAAAAAACCTTGTGTTTTTCTTCACACTTGTGTTTCAAGGACATCTTGGCTGAATTTGCCAAAGAGCTGTCTTCTTGGGTCATGGCAACCTCAGAGTTTCATTTGTGTGATCAACCTTCAGGAAATTCACTGTTGCAAAAGTACATAACATAACAACACTCACTTATTGAAAACACTTTGTGTATTTGCCTGAGCAATCTCCACATATTGAAAAAGTCAATAGTTGGAGTTTCAAAGTAATGGAAACGTAGATTAAACATCGTCAAAAAATAAGTTTGTCTTTCCTGTAGTCAATTCAGCTAAGAGGCTTTGAGAAATGCTAATGGATATTGAAACAAATTTCACCTTTTAATATTGAGTTTAAACTTTAGAATTTACTTCGTCTTTTCTTCCCAATTTAATTCTCCGTGTTGCTCTTACATTCCCATGCCCCTTGTCTGAGTGGCTTCTTTGGTTCTGACCTTGCTCTAAATTACAGACACAAAGCTGCAGCATGGCTGATGCAGTCTGACTCGGACTGTCTGGGTGTCACAGCAATTAGTTTGAGAAGTACAGATCACAGACAGATGAGTGTGCGCGTGTGTGCGTGTGCATACATATGAGCAATTAATTTGTTTTTACACTTTTACTACTTTTTTGAATAAAAAAAATTGTAAATTCTTTTGGTGTGCTGATATTTGAGTGCAGATCAGTCATTGATTTGAGTCAGTGATGCTGGAATATGATGGTTTACTAGTTATAGACAAATACAATGTTAACAGGGTTCTGTGTTTTGTAAAAAGCAATGCTCATATCCTTAAAGTTATGTGATAAGGCTGTGAAAGGGCCTCCCCATGCAGAGCCTTTTTAAACTGGGCTTGGGACCAGCAGGCACAAGGCCAGAGAAAGAGTCTGCTCCATATCACAGAAAATTAACAACAAATTGGACTTTTGAAGCTGATATCATAACTCTGACTACTTTATTTGACTTTATTATAGCTTACTGAAACAAACTTTTTTTGGCAATGAGTCCCATATACAGTATGTTTTTGATGTTAAATCTAAACTTTCTGCCAAAAAAATCATAATCCATTCGATTTTTTAAGACATCGTACCTCGGCCATTCCAATGAACAGGATTCAGACTGGCTACCTACATGAGGGATTCACAAGAAACAATACATGCATGTAACCCAGCTCATTTTTATCTCTCTTATGGCAGCCTCCTCCTTAACTGTTTAAAATATGAGTGTATAAAATCCAGATCTTTACAATTTTTAGGTCTAAACAAGACATACAAATGGGTGTCATTGCTGTAACAATGGGCAAGTGTCAAATAGCATGACAAAGGGGTAGCAGATACAAACTGAAAAAATAGGTTGTATTAAGATACCGCTGATGCAAACATGAAACAGTTAAACTAGTAAAACACAGGATGGTTTTGAATATGAAGCAGCCACAAGACACACAACGTATTTGTCATTGTGGTTGTGCTGAACATGATTGGTTTTAAAAATGTTTCTGTAAAATAAGACAAGGGTAATTTCCAGCAGTTTTCAACAGCGGAACATTTTTAAATGTTGTGGGGAGTAACGTAGTCTCGCTTAGGTACACCTATCTCCACAGCGCTGTCAGCGTTGGAGAATGGTCTGGCTGCATCCATTACCTTTCTGCTAAAGGTATTTCTTAAACCAATCACAATTGTCTTGGGTGGCGTCGAGTCCAAGATACAACGACGGTTCTCCCGAAAAATAGTATCGGGGGAACTTGTTTTGGTCAAACATTTTCATGTGAGGAGGCGAGGACTGTCATGGCTAATTCCCCGCAAAGCACAAAGAAAACACCACAAAAGTAGCAAAAGACGAATGTCTACTGTGATCACACCTTCATCAAAGCTTGAACTAACTTGACTGCGCCCTCGTCTTGTGTGGAAAACATCTTGCGTTCTGCATAACACAAGTCCTCCAAACTAAGTGACCATAAGCCGAATGTGCACGTCATGAGACTGGCGTCAGTGGAGTTTAAGATTTTTAAGAAATAGGCAAAAAGACATATTTTATTTGGTCTGTCAGAAGGAAGATGGCGGTGAGCTACTTAAGAACACTTTGTGCAAATTTGATAAATAAACAAAGGAAGAAAAGGAGGGCCCCTGAACAAGACAAAGAGTGACAGAGCACTGTAGCTGTCTTTTCAACTCTGTGCTTTTGCAACAAGACATAATGTAATCTCTCCTTGAGACGGAAAGATTTTTATAACCTGCACTGGCTGGGCCTTGAGCAGAAGAAGAGACAGGCTGAGTGAAGGCTGTTTATCCCACGCTGTCCTTGATATAAACATGTGAAAAATCTCTCTGTTTTCTCTCTCAGCTAAATCAATACAAAGACATTTGGCCTCTGAACAATGTTGTAACACTACTGCAAATGTTTTTCATCCTGCCTCCATTCATAGCCGTGTCCTTCAGCGAAAGAGAGCAGGGGACACTGATGTCCTGCTCACAGCTATTTCATTAATGTTGCCATGCACTCAATGTCATCCTTTCTTTACACCAAAGACAACCTTCTACTAAGACCTTCGTGTGACAGTGTGACGGTATTTGTTAGGTGGCCACACCAGAGTTGCATCTTTTGAATCTTTGGTCCTAAAGTCAGGAAAATTGCTCAAAACTTTTGCATTATTCTTGCACAATTTTCCTCATTCTGACAATGTCTGTGCTTGGTTTCTTCCTGGTTAAACTCCTGTGTAATCACTTTTGATTTTCCCAGAGCCCTCTCCCTCTAGCAGTCAACCCTAACCTGTGATCCCTCTTAGGAGCAATTAAGATAAACCTCTAATTCATCTGCTTTATCCTGACCTGTCTTTCTCAAGTCTCTCATCCACTGACCTCCACTCCTCCTCTTCTTCAAACCCCACCACCCCCCTTCTCTGCTGCTTCCCATCCTCCTTCAGTGACAGAGGCAAGGAGAGCATTGAATCATGACATCATAATTCACCAGCTCCTGTTTTCACGGTTAAATCAATATCAGTGTGTCCGAGTCAAGGTTGGAGGCTGGCCTTCACAGCTCAGCTCTTCCTACTTCTTTCTCATAGAAAATCATATAAATTGTCCCTAAAATAATTAAGCCTTCAGATCTGTCGCTGGCCTATATTTTTTACCAGCTCCTGTCTGATAAACAGCACTGCCAGAGAGTCAAGGTAATGCTGAGAATAGAACGGGCTCTGATTCCTTGTCTGTCTGTGCCTCTCTCTTCCTTTTTCCTTTTCTCTCATAATCAGTTTAATTAACCCAGCCTATTCACTACTGCTGTTCACCTCCAGTGTTTCGTTTTACACTTACACTGTGCCATCAGGTTGAAATGTCACATATTTAATATTTTATTTGAGCCTTTATTAACCTTTCACAGGTGAGCAAAAGAGAGTTGGACGATTTTATATCATTGTCTGTCCACTGTCTTGCAAAAATGTCATTTTATAGGGCTGTGTATTTAATATGTGAGAGAACTGAAAGGTGTGTGTTTGTAAGGTGTGCGCGTGTGTGTGTGTCAGATAGAGAGAACAGGAGAGGAGGAGGTGGGGAAGGAGGAGGTGCCTGAGTCTGGGGAGGCGGAATATGCAGAGAGTCTGAACAAGCTCGGCAAGCGCAGGGACAGACGGGAGCTAATATAAATGTGCTGCCCTTCAATCGGGGCTATCAGGGGCTAAGAAAACAGCGCTACCTGTGTCACTGACCTCCGGCGCTTCAAAGAGACAGCGGGACGCGCCTAGCTCCAGCGGCCATGGCCACGCTGGATGGCTGCCGCTGTCGGGGTGCCAGCGGCCGAAACAACAACAGCATCCTCTATAGCATTTTAAAAAGTGACAGCCTTGCGACCGCCGAGGAGCAGCAGCAGCAGCAGCAGCAACAACAACAACATCCCCAACAACAACAAACACTGCAACACTTGTTCCACAAGACTTCCTCTTCCTCCTCCTCCTCCGCCCCAGCCTCGCTGCAGGAGCTCCGGCAGCAGGCTTGTTCCTGCGGCTCCACACGGCGCCGAGGTGTCCTTCGCTCCCCGCAGGTGACGTGCAAAGCCGCGTCGGCGGTTCTGGTGAAGACGCTGCGGTTCGTGAAAAACGTCCCCTGCTTTCGCGAGTTGCCGGAGGACGACCAACTGATGCTGATCCGAAGCGGCTGGGCACCCCTACTCGTACTGGGGCTCGCACAGGACCGAGTGGACTTTGAGACCACGGAGACCGTGGAGCCCAGCATGCTGCAGCGCATCCTCACGGGTTTACCGGACAGGCAGAGCGAGGCTCTGGCCGGCCAGAGCAGCAGAGGAGCAGTCGGGGTCTCTGTCGTAGATATCGAAGCTATCAAAGCTTTCCTGAAGAAGTGCTGGAGTGTGGATATCAGTACGAAGGAGTACGCGTATCTGAAAGGAGCCGTGCTGTTCAACCCAGGTAGGTCACGGTTTTCATACCTGTGCATCAAACTTTAACACAGGTGACACACACTGACTTATAAGTGCAGACCGTCAGAGCATTATAATGGCTATGTCATTAAAATATGCTTATTGATAAGCTTTTATGCGACTGTGTCAGAAGTTTTGTTTATTTCGAAAGTATTGACCTAATATTCATCGACAAGATGAATACTTACTTATTACTTAATGTATTCTGAAGTTTTCTATCAATAACTTTGTATCATTGAAATTGATAGAAGGTGCCATTAATTCACACAGGCCTACACAAGTCCACATGTTGTCATTTCACATGTAGGAGTTTAGATAATAAACAGGTTTCACCTCTTACTGATATTTGCTTATATTTACACCATGTTGTGTGGAAACCATAATGAACTTTCTCCATATTCTTACTTTCATCTCCCTCTCCATTGCACTTACTCTCCTCCCCCTTCCTCTCGCCTCTCCTCATGCTGACCCCAGACCTGGAGGGCTTGCGCTGCCTCCACTACATCCAGTCTCTGCGTCGGGAGGCGCACCAGGCTCTGAACGAGCATGTCAGGCTGATCCATCGCGAAGACACAACACGGTTCGCCAAGCTGCTCATAGCTCTGTCCATGCTGAGGGCCATCAGCCCGCCGGTGGTCGCCCAGCTCTTCTTCAGACCCGTCATAGGGACCGTCAACATAGAGGAGGTGCTCATGGAAATGTTCTACGGGAAGTAGGTCACAGTCCATAGAGGTCTGAGGTGAATTCAGCAGATTCAGCTGCCAGGTGGACTGAAATGCTCCAAGCTCTTATTGGGTAGGGGGTGAGGGCAGATGAAGAGGATATTAGTGACTGAATTTGCAACTACTGTGTGTGGAAGATCTTCAAAGGCTGTGAAAGGACCAACACAGGCAAGAGACTGTGTGTGTGCATGTGAGAATGAAAGAGAGCGTGATGAGGGTAAGAGATGTGTTATGAGAGAGGAAAAATACAAAGCAGCTGCTGGAATTCCTAATTTATTTGTTTTTATATATAATATTTTTCTATAATAAAAAGAATACTCTCTGAGCTGTTTATTTGTTATACTGTACTTCTACCCTTGTGTGTGATCTCAGCTCTAATTGCAGACACACTTTCCAGTGAGGCAAGTGTGAAATCAGACCTAGACAGAATCTTATGTAGAAGATAATAGTGTCACCGCGTAAATCTGACATATATCACCTTGAAAAATCTGACTTCAACTGATTCATGTCAGCTACCGTTTACAGAAGTTATTGACATAGAGTTTTATTACGTCAACTAAGATGAGAAAGCCGCAGTTTGGTTATTCACACCAGCTGTTCACTGTCCAGTACAGCAGGTAAGTCAGAGACTTCACGTGTTTGTGGGGTCTGTATTCTAGTTTTTCTAAATAGTAGTGACAGGCCAGGTTAGACCAGAGTGCAACAGTATACCACAGACATCACCCTCCACACACACACACACACACACACACACACACACACACACACACACACACACACACACACACACACACACACACACAGGTGCAGAAACAGTGAAGTAAAAAGTGCCTCAGGTAATGTTCTACCTGTTCTCCAACTCTGGCCACTGCAGTGTAATTTTGTGGATACAAACTAAAATGCCTTTAGCGTTAAGTATCTAGGGAAAGGATGGAGGACTTTCTCATGAGAAAAAAAAAATTATCTATAACCTGCAGAGGAAAAGCGTCTGGAAATTGCACAAAAAGGCAACGGTAGTTAGATTAGGCTTGTGGTATCGTCATTATACAGCATTAGGTTACATTTATTCTATATATTCACCTTGGACAATGGGGCAAAGACTTCCTGCTGTTACAGTACACACAGTCTGACCAAATGGTTTTATGAAACTGAGTCCCTGGACACCTGATTCCTGCTTCCAGCAGGTAGAATACTTAGTCACTGTTCAAAGGCCAGATGGCCTGTACCTGTGCTCGGTCCCTGTGGCTTTGTTTTGGCTCACTCTGACAAAATAACCTGGCCAGAAGGTTAGTATTTTACATTTAGATATGCCCTGCTCTGCCTGCTTTAGGATTACAACCAAACAGTGGTGGAAGAAGTCCTCAGGTCTTTTAGCAATACCACAATATAGAAACACTCTGATACAGGTGCTGCTTTCAAAGTAAAAGTACTGATGTATAAGCTTAAAAATATACTGAAAGTACCAAAATTAAAAGTGGTTTTTATTAGGGATGCCACAGTACCAGAAGTTTGGTAGTCCAACAAAGGTCCACAATTCTCAACACCAGCAAAAAATAGCAAAAGACTGCCACACAAACACACACACACACACACACACACACACACACACACACATATGAAACTATCAAATTAAAAAGTCAGTGTTATATATTGACAGACTGAGTGGTAATGACCCTGCTAATGTTGCACCCTGCTAACATTAGGAGCTGTAGCTAACTCTTAGCCTAAACAAGCTAACGTTAGCCTCTGTGAACGTTGTGTGAAACATGGCTACAACAGATATCAGCTCTCACAATTCACAAACAACAATGGTAACAAGTCAGGACATTAACACTTTGACAACACGTTGTTCATACAAAGTTAACAACTGAAACTGACTCACCCCGAAGTCTGTGTACAGATGCGGACGTCTGTCTTTGAGCTGCTCAGATAAGTTTGAGGTGTTTCCTCCTTTCATTTGAAACGCTCTGTGGCACCGTGTTGTAGACTGGACTTGACTCCTGCTTGACTTCTCCCTGATGGTCCGCGTCAAATACTAAGTATCTCCATACACCAGCCTTGCCGTGTATTATTCTTATTATTATATTATTCTTATTTTTTTTACACAAGTTGTGGTGGACCTGTTGCTGCCATTTCACGTGTTGTTATTGCTTACTGGGCCTGCTTTCTTCTTCTCTTGAAGTTTGTTGTCAGACTTCAAGGCCTGTGCGTCTATTATACTGCCCTCGTCAGTTGGAGAAGAATCACATCTACAGTACTTTTGGTACATCGACTTGGTATCAAAGTATCGGTTCTCGTGACATCCCTTCTCATTATGCAGAATTTCTTATTTCAGAATAATGTGTATTTTATTATACTAATTGATTTATTTATGTGTGCGTCACTTAAACATTGCAGTTAATAACTTTATATAGCCTACTGCTGGGTAGCGTGTATTATCATCTCTTAATTTATAATGATACCTCATAATTTATTTGTTGATTATATTTTGTATAACCTATCTGAACTTGCAAAGTAATTGCTTACCACACAATTAAATAACTGAAAATAAGGAAAGTAAATAAATTTAGTGGAATAAAAAGTACAATATTTGCCTCTAAAATGTAACGGAGCACAAGAGGAAATACTCAAGTAAAAGTACAAGAAACTCGCAATTGTACCTAAGTACAGTACTTGAACACTTTGTTACGTTTCAGCACTGTACAACAGAGGAAGTGAAAATGAAATAGAGAGAAAGAGAGACATACATCTTCTCTGCTGAGAGGAAAGTTAGAGAAAGTTTTCTCTCTCAGTCAGAGAACCACCGGATCATGAAATGGCCTCTTGTTTCTGTGTAGACATTAAAACTGGGAGCATTGCCATCAGTGGCTGTGCAACAGCAACAGCATATGGATGCTGACTGTGTGTGTGTGTGTGTGTGTGTGTGTGTGTGTGTGTGTGTGTGTGTGTGTGTGTGTGTGTGAGAGAGAGAGAGTTTAGAAGAGGCAGAGAGTGAAGGGCAGGAGGAGGTATATTGTCACACAGTCAGGAGGGTTACATAGCAGGAGGGTTTCAGCAACAGCCTTATTAAACGCTCTTTGATGTGGAGTGAAAAGGAGCAGTGAGAACAATAGTATCATCAGCCACGTTCCTATGCCTGACGGGGGGGGGGGGGCATAGCCATTAACCAGTGTTGTATGTTTATCAGCTAGAAAATCGGCTGTTAGGACAAATGAACAAAATAACAAAAATTAATTGCCAGCAATTTCATCAAATTGCCTCTAGTTTTTCAACAAAAACTCCATGAAGAGATGTTTACAAGAACAGTAGAATCTTCATGTGGACCTCAAAGTACCAGGCTTTGCCCCTGGCCTATTTTTGATTCCAGTTCAGTACAGACTAACCACGTGCAATGGAAATGGAAAGGCACTGAAACAAAGGGGGTGCAGACACAAATAAGCAGGGCCATGAAAAAAGGAAATACCAATTGATCACACACCGCCTGGTGGTCTGATAAGACATTGCAGGAAAAGATTAAAATGACACACACACACACACACACACACACACACACACACACACACACACACACACACCACTGTGGACTTTGCTCTGAAGACATTCTTATTCCTGTCTGCCTCCTCTATGTGTTCCCTTTCGATGGGACCTATTTTCTCTCCAATTAAGTCCTTAATTGCTCTGGGTAATAAAGACTCTATTAATTCTGTGTCTGCTAATAAAACTCCAGCTGTCTGGTTCAGAGGCTGCCAACATGCAACAGTCACCAGCTCCACTTGCGGTTGACAACATGTTGTGTGTGCTTGCATGTGTGCATGCCTCCAAATGTCGGCATCATTTATTTAAAAAAAAAAACCCCCAAAAAACACAGCCAAAGTAAATTCCAGAGGTTGTGGTTCAATTATTTTTCATTGATGCTGCTAGCACTGTTTTTTTTCTTTGTGTTTGCATAGTCTGAAACCATCTTAGCCCCTCTATGCACCCTAGCACGAACAAAACTGTCCATCCTCTTTCTTTTATGGTAACAAACTCAGTCTTCATCCCTTCCTCTGCCTTTAACTCTGCCAGTGTGTCCCAGTCTTTTTCCTCTGCCCCAGTTTCTCTTTTTTGCTCCTCTCTCCTGGGATTGACAGAGAATCAGTAAATCTGCTTTCTGTTTCTGTGTTTACCCCTTGTAGGTAGTGTTTATCCCCAGGAGATGGCAGTGTTTGGCAGCACTCAAACACTGTTGTGTTTTAAAAAAAGAAAGTCAGGCATCAAATGAGATTTCTTGGCTTTAAGCCAAAACATATTTGGCAAATATCAGTGTATTTAAAAAAGAAAAAAGAAAAAAAGAGGTGATCTTTTTGTGTTTTCTGCTGCTATCTGGCAGGATGGATAGATACATGGGGAAAATGAGGAGAGAGTAACGGTGATGGCACGTAATAAATGTCCCCAGCCAGTAATGAACCAAATGAAATGGCAGTTGTATGATATGTGCTCTAGCCTACTAGGCCTCAGAGAGTTATCAGCACATTTTAAACAGTCAGATTCCTTTCATAAGCTCCATTATTACACACTGTGCAAATTATGACCTTTCTCCTTCGCCTACTGTATTGACAGTCTGCTGTAAAAGGGTATGGTGTTATGTTATTTGTTTCTTACAGTGACAGAATAATTGGAAGAACACAAACAGTCCAAACATACATATGGACATTTGCTCCTTCCTACTGTCCTCTGGGCACAGTACAATATACGCTCCATGTTGTATTGTTTGCAAAGAACATTTCAAACTGTCCCCTTAGACGTTTGTTTTCGGTGTCTGGATTTAAATTAATTCACCTTGTGGTTATTTAAGAAAATAATCAGAGAGAGCAGATGGCGTGAAAAAGTACATACAAGCACACACAGTTTTCCGCGTTGGCCACCACAACGGCAGTTGGCAGTTGTAGGCACAGTTTTGTTGTGTACTTTTCAAAGGAATTTCATCAGGAGACAATGATGCTTCTTTATTTTCTCAGAGTCCGATCACTGGTTCAACTGACAAACTCACTTTTCAACCCATTAGTTGATGGTCATAGAGATCATAAAGCTGTCATAGAGTGTGATGAATTTGCCATTAATGTGACTGCTGAGAGAGTAATCAGATGTGTAATGGGTGTTAGAAAATACTGACAACAAACAGTCAAAGGTGGACACAAAAGAAAAACATCAAAAGGAAATCAATGTTTTTAATGTGCAGTGAGAAAGTAAGGGCAACTGATAATGATTGTGTTTCTATAAAGATAGACATTTCTTTCCAAGTGAAAATTGTGTTTATATATTTATATAAATATCTATATTATATATAGAATACATATCTATTTGCTATGCATACTCAAAAATCACACCTTCAAATATATTTAAAAAGTCTTTCAAAACACAAATGTTTTCTTTTCTTTCCTTAAACATGAACTATCCATATGAACCAAAGTAATTATCAAGATGGGAATAATATTGTGTTTTAAAAACCAAAACATTGAAAATGCTTTACTTTTGAATCTAGAACAGTAGAGGACATATTTTTTCATGTTGGATTCAAAAGCCACCTTAATCTCTTAACAAACCAGGAATCACATTGCAAGGATACAAAACCAGCATAACACTTATACACAAATCCCCTTTCTATGGTGGATGAAATGCAAATAAGTATGACTTTTCAAGCAAACTCTTTTCTGTTATAAAAATAGAATTCTTTTTAAAATAATCTACAGATTTCTTTTTAAGGTGAGGCATTTCACTATCACTCTAAAACAGCAAGGCTGTTTGTTTCAATAGAAAATATGAAGCTTTAGAGAGAGATCTGCCAGTCTATCGGTCTATCTGATTGGAGAGGACCAGCACTGTCCCCCAACCGCTCCGCCTTCTCGCTGTCACAGGACGGTGTGTGTTCGCCAGCTCCTCCTTCTTTTTGCATATTCTATGATTTTTTTTAAAAGTGAGTTTCCTTTTAAACTAGATACACCTTTTACAGGTAAACAAAAAGAAGTTTCAGCTCCTCGAAGCTCCTGAAATGTCCAGGCAATTCCAAAGGTGTTAAAAAATGTTCTCTTAAACTACATAAAGATTGAAAAACAAACAAACAAAAAAAGAAATACAACAGCGCAGGTACATGGACATACTGGTTTTCCAAACAAGCGCATTGAAATAAGAATAAAAAACAAACTAAAAAGAGAAAACAATAAAAAATATACAACTCTGTATAACAAGGTAAAGCAAAGTCCTACAGTAGAGAAGGCAACAAACATGATTGAAAAAAACAAAACAAAAGAACAAAACAGGAAAACACTGATGCTACAAAGAAATTGAAATATATGTACAAGACCCTGTTTTCCTTGTGTTTGTATGTATGCACATTTGTGAGTGTGTGTATGTGTGTGTGTATGTATGTGTGTGCGCAATTGCCATAGTGTGTTGGTTCTTTAATGTGGAGTTCCTGCAAGTCTGTCTCTTGCTAGTTGATGAAACATTGTTTTCTTTATATCTCCTGCAGTTTCACATAGAAAACATCCCCTGTAACACAGGCGCCGTCCTCTTGAAAAAACAAGGGTAGCAGTGTCCAAAAACCGGCTGCATCTCCATGACTTGCTGCTAGTTAACAACAGGTGGAATCAAATGGGTCCAAAACACTTTTCACCAAAGTCATGAGCATGAACTGTGTTCCACCGTGTGTACCAGACTGAGCCCAGCCACGTCTGACCCTGACTGATCCTCCTACAGCCGATGCTGAGCCGGGTCATCATTACCAGATGACGCTGGAGATGCTGGTTTCTCTTGGCAGCAGAGGGAGCATGGCGTTGTTAGCATGTGCCTCCTCCAGGCTGTGCTCTCGGCTCTTCCCAGGAGGCCTCTGTCCATTCAGCAGTGTTAGAGGGATGTTGCAGTAGGTGTGCTGGTTCCCCAGAGAAGAGAGAGGTGGCAGGGTCCCGCCTGGGGGTATGTCATACTCGTAGCTGCGGTAGTAGTGTTTCTGCCTCATGGTGGTGTGGTAGGTGTTGTGGAAGGAAGAACGCAGCTCAGGGTGGGCGGTGGCCATGGCGGTGGAAGTGGCTGCCGCCATGGAGATGGCAGAGACGGTCTGCAGCTCTCCGAAGGGGCCCTGCTCGCTGACGTCCAGCGCCGGCTCGTGGGTGAGCATGGGCACTGTGCGCCTGAACGGCATCTCGTACTGCAGCTGCTTCCAGAACTTGGAGTTGAGCTTGTTGCTCTTGGGGCCACGCCACTTGATGACGGTGAGGGTTTTAATGGTATGCTTAAGAGCCTCTACCTCCTGGTAGTTCATGATGCCACGCAACTCGGCGCACTCGATCAGGATGACTTTGATCTCGCCAGTCACCAGCATGTTGCGCAGCCGCGTCTCCAGCTCAAAGATGCTCCAGCCTCGCCGCACCACATAGTTGGGTGTCATAACTATAATGAGGCGTTTGCTCTGGTCGACACAGCGTGCCACATCCTCTATGTAGGCTGAAGGAAAAAAAGAAAAGAAAAATAAAAAAGGCATGAGAGAGGCAAGAGAGTTGAGTAATGTGCATTTAAAATGTTTTGAGTTAAAGATGAGTGCAGGACCACAACACTGAACAATGATAGATGAAGACACAGCATCAAACACAAAACACAAGACAGTGACAGGTGGTTATTTTCTCTAATAGCACTCATTTTAGTCTGTAGTTTATAGTGTGAACAGAAAGACAGCAACTGGATATGTGTGTGTAGACACATATCTAAAAGCATGGTTCTTTGTGAAGGTGAATATGTCTTTAGATCTAAAGCAGTGTAAAGTATTATTCTATGTATTGTAATCAATAGTCTGAGTGAAGAGCAGCCCCAAAGACCAAGCTAAGTGCTGCGCTAAATGGCGTCAGATTGATAAAGCTAGACAGTCAATAAGACTAAGCTGAGTTGCTGTCCATCGAAGTTGGCCTGATGTTTCAGATCACAACAACAGAGCCACTCTAAGTGTCTTTTTGAAACTGGAGCAGGTAAATGACAGCAGCTGACAGGAGAGGAGAAGACTGAGGGCGAGTACCTCCAAAGAGTCGTGTGTCATCCTGGTAATGCTCATTGGTGAGACCTAAACATAAACATTTTCACATTCAGGTCACAGGCAGAACACAGTACACAGACACAGAAACATACTCAACACAGTCGAGAAAGTGGCCGCCTCTCTTCTCACTCATCTTTTTTATTTCACATATGATTAATCACATTCTATGTTTCCCTGATTGGACATTCATCTACAACGATTTTGCTTGGCACTGATGCTGGCGGCAATTTTCTTTTGATTAAAGGAAAGGAGGCAGCTCAGTCAGCAGGGCTCAGAGCCTTTGCACATTTCCCACTGATGTTTAATTCTGTCTAGGACGTGTTTGTGTTTTATCAGTTCCACAAGAAGCCTACAGTACAAACACACAGCATCACTACTAACTAGAGCACACTGTGTACCGCTGGCACAGACTGGCACTACTAAGCAGAGTTAGCACGCATGAGAATATGTTCAGACAGAATTTTCATGGATTTATTAATGCATGGATGAAAATCAGGGAGGATGATAAATTTGTTCAATACAGCAGCTCTCGGTACACACTACACACTGTGTTCCAATATCTGTAGTACACAGCCTGCGAAGAGCCAGTGAAGAAATACCATAATCTTCTCATTTCATCCGGAGAGGTTTAAGGGGATACAAGAAACACAGTTCTGGCTGACAGTTCTGGGCTGATTGTGTTTGATTGTTTTCTCCCTTTTGCCTTAATTTGGAAATCTGGATTAATCATCTAGTCATCAACTGTGAATATACTCAGCTGGAATTTGCCCTACGAGCACAAAACACTGAAACACAAGACAGTGACAGTGAGAAACAACACTGAAGACAAACAACACACAACAAACACTTCAAACTTTGGCAAACACTGCAGCAGCTACAGCAGCTGTTAATGCCCTCACACTCCACTACAGTATGTTACATGAACATACAGTATGTGTGCTAGTGTGTATACACAGCCGGTCACAGTGCTTACTTCCTGTTGGAATCAGGTCTCGATCTGGGATGAAGAGTTTGTAGCCGTAATGTTTCTCCAGGACGTCAGGGAGGATCTCCAGGGCAAAGCGTTCCTCCTCCCTGGTCTCTTGACTCCACTGGTCCGGGTCCACTTTGGTGTAGGACAGGTACGCATCGTAGTCTTTGTTTTCTGAAAAACAGAAAAATAATTTACTGAATATCCTGCATCCCTGCCTAGAGTCTGACTTTACAGTAGAGTTCATACGAGACAAAAAGAAAATTTGGATGTAACTTCACTCCATCAGTTTATTTCTCCTCTTCTGACAAAGTTTGTTTTTCAACAAGACACAAAACCTTCGATCTAATTTACATATTACTGTAATATGCCTCTATAAAAGCCTCCAGTCTACGTTCCAAGGTGTTGGATGGAGCTGAGGTCAGGGCTCTGTGCAGGCCAGTCGAGTCCTTAACAGGAACAAAGTGACCTGGTTCAACAAATAGGCCCAGACCAAGAATCAAAAACATTTGTGGACAGTGGTGTCAGTCTACTTTTGTCCATTCAGTTTATATGAGAAACAAATTAGGGTAGACACAAAAATACCCAAATCATGATTCAAGCAATATCCTCTTCCCCACCTCGAAATGATTTCCCAGAGGAAAGGGGGAAGAACTGAAAAAGCAAGAAGATAGACGATGGGGAAAAAGCTCTACTGGTGACATGTTCAGTAAGCCCTAGTCATTATGCTCTGTAGAAACTGGAATGTGGGCCAGCCAAAAAGGAAAGAGAGGGGCTTTTTCACAGAGTCTTTGAGGAGCGCATGCAGCTTTGAAACTCACTGGAAAGGCCAGGGCTGTGCTCAGTAAGGATCCAAACATCAAACAACGCTTTCAAATTAGCAACCAACCTTGCAAATTAACCACCTAGCAAACTTGGAAAATCAAAAACAGCTTGTATCAGTGGTCCCTGACGGTATGACTTAATCATGTGGAAGTTTGAGTCAACAAAACAGTGTGTAATAGATAATTCATGCTACTGTAGAAACAATCCAGTGATTTAAAAATGAGTTCAGTCTTTCCAGAATTTTTGAAAAGAAAACAGGCAAGCTCAAAATACAAAGCAAAAAAAGAAAGATACTGGGATATAAACAGACAAATCCGTTACTGACGCTAAAGTTAACTATGTTCTGTAAAGAAAACAAAAAGTTGCCCTCCAATTTCAGGCTGTTTATGCTCCTATTTGCCGTTCAGGGAAGGAGCTTCGAGCCTATCCAGTCCCCGTGTACCACAATCTGGCCTTTGACAGCAGAGAGTGGGCATCATTCCATGACTTATTGAGACTGATCTCTTTTTAAATGGGCAACAAATTGAAAATCTGTCTCTGCTGTTCCCTATGCAGCCATTGTAGCAACGTACACACACCATCACGTGCAGCAGGAAGAGACACACACACACACACACACACACACACACACACACACACACACACACACACACACACACACACACACACATAAAACCGTATTCACACAGGTAAACAGATAGATAGATTCACACACATGAAAACAAACCAACAAAGGCACATACACAGTCATCAGTGCTTGCATGACATTGAAGTTTGGACAAGAAAGATCCGATGAAGAAAAATGGGCCTGAGGCAGAGAGAGAAATTTTTTAAGACGCTCTGTCTCTACCTCCATCCACGTCCTCGCTGCCAAAGTGCCTCCTATAGAAAAGCATCAGCTCGATCTTGTAGCATTTGTAGAGGGAGATGAGAAAGATGAGCAGCAACAGGATCGCTCCCAGCCCTCCTGCCAGCTCCACCGTGTACATGAGCTCTGCTGAGGACAAAACACACAGAACAGAAGATGTTTAAAAATGCTGAGACAATCATGGGTCGAACTTCATTCACAGTTACGTGTGTTATGAATACACAAAAAGAGGTTATTGATTCGGCACCAGGTTGGACTCGAGAGTTGTCTTTTTTTCTTATTCCTTTTTTTTTTCTCTCATTAGACTCAAAGAATGAGGCAGTTAAAGAACACATTTACATTTGCGGGGATGCTGAACGATCATCAGTATTTTCAGAGCTCAGCTCAAAGTGAAGGAGCATCAATCTTCAGTGGGAAGAGACACGAGGCTCATAATGAGTTTGGGAAAAATGAGAGGGCACAGTGCAGGGAGACGTGGGGGAAAAAAAAAAAGATTATGAGAAATTGGATTCATTTCTTTGGAGCAGCGCAGCAATGACACAGATCTGCACCTTGGCTGTCGTCCATAGTGGGACTTGTGACAATTTTGGACATGGATGGAGGCATTTTCAAAACAAGAGGCTTCAGTTTATTCATCTCACTTACTCCCCTCTCCATAAAAACTCTTCCTCTCTCTCTGGCATTTCCATCCCTCCCTTCTCTCTCTGTCTTTCCATTCATTTCTCTTCTCTATTATCTTCTCTCCATCTCCCCAGAGATCTGGCTTGGGGAAGGATGAGTTATGGTGTGTATTAAAGCAGCATTTACCTGGTTGGCTCAGCTAGAACAGGTTCACCTTATATCTCTGTCACACTGTGGGCTGGAACCACGCACAGCTGCCATAGCAACTGCCAGGCACTATCTATACTATCACAGATTCTGTACCCTGTACAGGTAGGTATTTTTACAAATTATAATTGCATCAGTATGAAGTCAAGAAATATATATAATTATATTAAAAAAAAAAGTTCAGATTGCACCAGGGTTATGAGATTTTCTCATTTGTTTTCAGTTTTATTCATTTTTATTTACCTGAAGCAGTGTCATTGTTATTTTCAAGATACCACAAAGAAAACCACTAAAACATGAGGCTGCATCAGAAAGAAGTGATGTTAATCAATCACACAGTCTATTTTTTGTTGTTTAATAAACAGGTAAAGATTTATTGTTTATTTTTACCCCAAACAGGTTTAATGTAAGACTTTGTATTTGACAAAGTAATGACTGTGTTAAAGGCATAGTTCAAGATTTTGGGAAATCTTGTTGCCAGCAGCTAGTTAGCTTAGCTTATCATAAAGACTGGTAACAGGGCAAAATACGTAGCCTCGTTCTGTCCGCTGTAACAAAATCCACACTTCGGCACATCTAAAACTCAATAATTTACCTTGTTTGCTTAATCAAACAAAATCCTAAGTGTGAAAATGATATGTTGGGGTTTTACAGGGGGTTATGTGCCCAACTATTTCTGGGCTAGGCCATGTAACTTGTGCTAAGCTAAACTAACAGGCTGATTGTGTTAGCTTCATATTTACCCTACAGACATGAGAGTGGTATTGATGTTCTTACATAACTCTATGCAATAATGCCAACAAGTACAGATATTCTGGATGAGTTTGTTTAAAATCCTTGATGTTTTTTTCATAAACTAACAGTCTCAGAAAGACAGCACTACCGTTTAAGCCCTGTAATATGCATTTTTATTGACTCTGTCCCTAACTTTAATGCTTCTAACTAATCAACAGCAATCGTACTCAGTCTCTGAGTTGTTTATGTTCCACTGACCACCACTTCCCTTCTGCCCACTCTCTTTCCATTTTTCTCTTTCTTCTCAGATGGAAGGAAAGGCGGCCTAAAGGGACATTCATAAACCTGCTGCAGGGCTTATGAGTGATGCATTCTGGGAGGGGAAACATGAAATAAACATGAGAATAATGTGGGAGAAAGAAAGACAGACAAAGAGAGGGGGAGAGAGAAAGAGAGAGAGCGATTTGAAGTCTTTCTTGAAGTCTTAGCATCCCTCTCCTTGGAAATGCTTCTTTGACAGAAAGTTAAATGAAGCTGTCTCCAGTCTACAAAGACCACTCAAAAGGAATTGCGCCGTCTATAAAGAATGGTCACAGAGACAGAGATTAAAGTGGGGGGACAGACAGATAAAGACTTAAAATGTAATTGTATGCTGAAGTTATTGGCCTGTTGGGAAAAGCTGAGGACCAATTTGCTGTTTAAACAGCCTCAAATTACCTCTCTTTGTAGGGTGACAACCAGTGCATGAAAAGAGCTTCAGACAAGTCATGCTAGAGAGCCAAAATAGCTCCACAGCTGCAAGGGTACATGTAGAGAGGAACAACACAACTAAATGGAGCTTGAGCACAGATTGTTAACAGAAGAGTGGATGGGAGAGGAAACAAAAAATGAGCCAGAAACACAGAACAAGAGATACAGTGTTACAGATTGTAATGTCTGTGCCCCTGCTCATGCCTGTAAGTCAAGAAGGGGGGTAATATGTGACGTTATTTAATCACACAGCAGACTAGATGTTTATTTTACTCCCTAATTTAAGACTTAATATAAGACTTAATAATGACTGCATTAAAGGAATAGTTCCACATTTTGGGAAACACATGACCTTGCTTTCTTGTTGATAGTTAGATGAGATAATCATTCTTATATCTATCTGCTTAATATGAAGCTACAGCCAGCAGTTGGTTAGCTTAGCTTAGCATAAAGAGTTAGTTTCCAGTCTTAGTTCGCTAAATTAAGCTAAACGGCTGCTGGCGTTAGCTTCATATTTACCCTACAGACATGAGAGTTATATCGAGTAATATATAGCTTCTTATATAACTGTATGCAAAATGTGAAACTAGTCCTTTAACTTGAAAAGACTTGGCACATAATACATGACATTTTTTCATAAACACTGTGTCTCAGAAAGACAGTGCTGCTGTTTTGGCCCTCTAATATTCATTTTATTGGCCTTTTAAGGTATGCAGGGGGTATATAAAGTTTTCCTTATCCTGTTAAAAAAAAAAATCCAAAATGTGTTATGTTCTTAAAGAAACAGATGTGGTTGTAGTGTGTACACCTGAAAACTTTTAACAGGCAATAACTGATTTTTTTTGGGCCATTTCGGGCAGTAAAAACAAGATGTAAACACAAAATGTATCTCTTTAGAAGCTAAATGCTCCACCTTTGATCAACAGCTACTAACTACTAACACTGACTGTGTGTCAGTCACAAAGGTAGTGGGTTCTTACAGCTTTTTATCTGAGAACACTTTCCTGCTGTTTTTGAGAATGATGCTGATGAGCGCAGTTAGACTGAAACCCCAACAGTAAAGTTGAGAGATTCAAAATGAATACAAAATAAAAACGCTCCTTAGAGCTGAGGAGAACTGCACAGTCAGAATTCTCTGTAGGATCGTCACTATGAGCAACTCCTTTCACATTGCACACTGACTGTTAATATGAAAATATTGATTAGAGCAGCTTTAACCTTTGACACACTGGTCAACAGAAACAAACACATGCTGTGCAGCTAAAGTTTGCTTAATTTACTGGAAATCTCAAAGTTTCCACAAATGCCAAATGTGTCAGGCTGAATAAATTATGTACAAGACATCTAGAATATTTGTATTTGATGAAATGGCGCAGCCAGGCTTTTAATCTTTCATTCATCATATAGCTTTAATGAAGAGTTGGAACAAGCTGATACAGAATATATATATGAGGCTGTCAGACAGTGAGGAATAAGATGATTTTTCCAACCTTAATGCTGCTTACAGTAAAAGAAAAATGCAAAAACACTCCTCAATGTCAAAGAGCCCTTACCCCGCCTGAAGAGCTGGATGGTAGCTTGGCGACGGCCATTACCATTTTCCACATAACAGGAATAATTTCCCAGATCCTCCTCCTCCAAAGAGTCAATAGTCAAGGAAATTGCCACTTCCTGTTCACCAAGATGCTCTTTGACCACCCTGCAACACAAAAAAACAAACATAAAAAAAAAAACTTGGAAACTGTATACAGGATGCAGCTTGTTGACGTAAGTTCCCCTGACCTGTATGGATATAAAAGAACTTGCAATCAGTGCAACTGAATGTGATGGCAAGCAGCATTTATGAGATGTGTTTCAAGAGTCATGATCCTGAGTGCAGCAATCACAAAACATGTGTTACAATTCAATGTGATATATGTGATAGAAATGCCCATAAGCAGCGTCTCTCTGTACACCACATGTATTTGGATGAAGCCCCTTCTGTGTTACTGCAAGTACTTCACGGTATGTTAATTTCTTTCTCTGCGCGCAAAACATATGAGAAATGAAAATCAATAAGGACTCTTCCTTGGCATGTGAGGGAGGGAAATCAAATAATGGCGATGAGAGGAAAATCTTTTTATAGCGGCTGCCATGGTAACGGAGGGAAGGAGAGAAAGTAATATTCCATAAAGTAAATGAGTGTCCCCCGGTGGGCTGGTTGAGCCTGATGGAGGAGGAAATGGGGAGATAATGCTCCCTCGTACCTTAGAAACACTACTTAGCCCACTTTTACAGCACCCTCAGCACAAATGACACTTTGGAGGAAACAAAGTGCAAATTATAAAAAGATCACCTCTGTCTGGCCGTGTGTGTGTGAGTATGTGTGCATGTATACGCATCATTTACAGTACGTGTTAATAACAACTATGTTTTGAGAGGGAGGAGTGGGATGAGGAAAGAGGAAAGTGACCGTGCATGTGTGTGTCTGTGTGTATCTCTGTGTGTGTGTGTGTGTGAGAGAGTATGTGTTTGAGTGTGTAGGGGTATAATGACTCTCAAGCATCTCTCTTCTCTCTCACTTTCAAGCCGATAAACTGCGCATAAGGACAGCTTGTTGGGGAGATTTGGCATCAGTAAATGAAAGTGTATCATGGGCTTTGCATAGAGAGGCTGAGGCAGTGCTGATGATATTTGTAGTTTCTGCTGAGTTTGTTGTGCAATGTGTTGGGGGAGGTTTGAGTCGCTGAGGGAAGGAGGCAGGGGAATAATTCATGTGTCTCCAGGGAGTGGTGGGTACTTTGAAGCCTCCCATTTCACATTATCACACTATATGAGCTGGCACACCTCGCTGCCATACAACCTGATGGATAACGACCACCGTTGTACAACCTGAGCCTCAAATGGAAATGATGAGGACCTAAAGTTAGAGTAGGTGGATAACAAGGTGCAGGTGAAGCACACAGATACAGATGAGAGCTGAATGACAGCTCATCACACACACACACACACACACACACACACACACACACACACACACACACACACACACACACACACACACACACAAACAGCTAGGCTGAAGAGTGAGCTCGACATATACCAGACCATGACCATGGAGGCATCTAATGCAATGTTCCTGCTTGTCTGAATCAGAGTCAGATTTGTAGAATTCCATGTAAATCTTTGTAAAACTCTGTAAAATCCTCTGCTTTTCTCCCGGGTGATTGGGTTTATTGATACAGAGTTAGCAGAATGAGTTAATCGTGAACTCTTTCTCAAACTATGGCTGCTGCAGGCACTTTTTCTTATTCTTCAATATTCTTTCCCTTCCTCATTAGCAAAACCTCTGTGTTTGCTCATTTAGTGATCAATTTCTAACTTATTCATTCTTTTTATACATTCACTTCGACGTGCACCTGCAAAACACCAACTGAACTGGGTCAACAATGTATTGATCACCTCCTTTATTATGCTGAGCCAGATTTGTTTTGCTAATTTATTAATCTCTGCATGCTATGCTAATGTCCAGTCATCCGTGCTATGATAACAACAATAGCCCTGTCCCGCTGGCGCAAATGAGAATTTATGGGCTTGGGTTACCATAGAAATGAACTCCTCCAAATCAATAGGCTGCGAGTTGGGTAAATAAATGCCTGAAGAAACTGTGAGCCCGATGTATGAGTGCTCTTCTCTGAGCTCAAGTTTGGCTGCTGATGCATTAGTAATAAAGCTAAAACTGTGTGGGTGCCAGCCTGAAGAAGGAGGTAACCCTTATAAACATGCCCACTGTATCTGTCCACTCTGGTCTAAACGGGAGGCTTGGCTGAAGGGTGAGCACAGATTTGTTCATGTTTAGCTTCTCCTATCCTTACTCTCCATTTCTCCCCGTCCTTGCCCGGTCTGTATCCCTGGCTGCCTTCATGGAAGTAAAACGAAGGCTCTGGCTGGACCTGAACATGGCTGGGGTAGCAGCATCAGCAACAGAGAGTGGATGATCAAATACATTATTGATCTGCTGCATGAAATATTGGTATGAATTATTGAAAAGATAACCCCTCAGCTAGTGAGTGGGGGAATCCTGGTGTCAGGGAGTAATGGAGGAAGAGAGAGAGAGAGAAAGAAAGACAGGAGAGCAGCGGTGATGGTTAAAATGAAATTTGTTTCTGTCGCCTGTTCATATCTGGGCACAAGCAAACTCACTATCACAGATGTGTCTTCTTCACTATCCTCCTCAGTGACTTCTACCATATTTCTTTCTCTTTCCACTTCTTTCCTGTCTGCTCCCTCTCTCTTTCTCAACCTCTCCATCTCTCCCCCTCCTACCCCTCCTCCTCACCTCCCCACGGACCATCTGCATGCTGCTATAGGTGGGTGCAGCAAGGGAGATAGCGATAGTGGCGGCGGTGTGAAAAATGGCGGTTGTTAACCATCTGACAGGGCTGTCTCCCCAGAGCTGCAGCCTCTCCAAACAGCCCTAATGGGAAACATGCACATGGACCAGCGAATGGACTTGTTTAAATGTGTTACACCAGTAGGAGGGAGAGACATGGAGATGAGCTTGTTTGAAATGTCTTAAGAGGCCTGAAAGTCTGACTTGCTGGGTAAATTTTACAATGTTTCACTGAAATGAGACGGAAAGAGAACATTTAGTACATTCATGTGTGGTGCAAAATTTTAATGTGTTTTAGTTACATGTATGTTATTAATACCTACTTAATAAAATATTTGATACAGTATTAACATTTTATAAATTGAATGCACCATACAACGTATTTTACTTTTCTTTATTTTTGTATTTGGTTTCTCTGTTTTGCAGCTTTTGTTTGTTTATGCTTTGGCAGCACAATTTCTCAATGTAAGTGTCACTGAAGCTGAAAAATGAGAGAGAGCACGAGAACTAGACCATCGGCCATGACAGTTTGTAGAGCATGCAGTAGTTCATGACAGCCAACAATTTAAAGGACAGTAGTGAACCTTACATAACGACTGTGTCGGCTACAAGACTGCGTTGGATAACCCATTGTGACACACAATTCAAAAACCTTTATTTTTAATTAATTTTCAGATTGTTGTCAGAGCTGGTAATGCAGCTGCACACAAGCACCGGTTTGAAAACGCTCTTTGTTGGAGTGTCCAACCTGACTTCAAAGAAACAAAACTTTTGATACGAGAAACAAAAAAAACCATCAAAGTTTCCTTTTTCGGAGGTTTGCTGTTTTTTTTTGTCTTGTGATTTGATTTTTTGACAATGTAGCAGATAAATGCAGTGAGTGGCTTGGGACAAATAATCAATAGGGCAGTGCAGCATGATACACTACGCTGGCATCGATACTGTGATACGTTGTAAAGATACAGTAGTGGTGATATTGAAGTGACACTGTTCAGAGCTCAGAGTTGCTTGACTTTCTCGCAGTCCCGCAGACCTTTAGGTGATGCTTATACACGAGAAATGTTGATGTGTGAGTGCTGAAACAAGCCTGCACACTTTATTTTTCTGAAACTGAAAGCATTTCATGAAGCAGTAACTATAAAGTATTACTCCTGCGGTTTAAAGGGTACTTTGCCACTTTATAGCCATATGTTCATTTTCAGTTACACAGATCCTGTGATGTATAATAGATGATTATCATGCCGTGTATGTGATGCATGCTGTTCTATTGTTTCCTTGCACAGTGTGGAACATTATGAGTCATCTTGTCTCCAGGTGCATTTTCACAAAATTTAAACAAAAGACTTAAAGTGACAAAATGAATGAGTGATGATCTAAAACAAACCTAAAGTCTCTGCATGATGTTCATACCATAGAAAAATAAATGGAAATCAGCAGCTGCTTGGAAGGCAGCGGATAAATCTCTGGAACATGGTTGGTGGAGTGTATGCAATTTGGAGTTAATGGACTAAAACATGCAAAACCATTGGTATCGTCCTTTAATATTCTCCAGTGAATTTATCCACAGCTGCTATTAATTCCTCATTACTGCCAAGTCCGATGAAATTATTTCAACTCCAGCAGTGTGTGTCTTACTTGATGTCGCTCTCCTGGACTCTTTCTTCATCCAGGTCCTCTATGAACTTCTCTCCCTTCATCCAGTAGATGAGCGGGCTGACATCACCGCTGTAGCCAAAGAACGCCCGGCAAGTCAGGTTCAAAGCGCTCCCTGCAAAGACAGAAGATGACGTCCTGTCATGCTAAATTGTCCTGATGGCTTTTTTAAAGATATGTATTTTATGTCCACGGCCTCAAAAAATGTATCATATCATACAGGCGCATTCAGAGTCACTCAGTGACATCAACAAAAAGGCTACTTTGTGGGGACATGTGCATTCACAGTTCTTTGTGCATCATACACACATATGCTAGAGCAACATTAATACATGTACACACATACAGACACACACACAGATACTTGCACAAAATTCATGTCAAAAAACGGTTCAGTGAGGGAACTTGTAAGTTGGATGCTTTTGCGCCCTCAACAAATCTTCAGGGACGTACAGCTGTGATTAAAGCAGACAGTCTCTCCTTTCACACAGACTCAAGGGGAACATCTCTGGAAATGTTTTGATTTGTTCATGTCAACAGCGCACACATACACTATACTGATCTGAAAGCAAGTAAACAGTACTGAACACATGAGGGCACTCAAGAGCTTCCCAAAACGCCCCTCGAGACCGTGTGTCCATGAGAGAACAGAAGAGGCTGACACTAACATTATTTTATTTAAGGCTGCTGCTACGTTTGAGGGAAGGTCAAGAGTCAACATTTGCAGTTTACTGAGAGTTGATACGTGGAAGATGAAGTAATTGTCACCGAAGAGCCAACAGGGTCTTTGTTCCATGAATTGATGGATTATCTCCTCGGTTTATCCGAGAGGGAAAGAGTGAAACTTTCTGCACCAATGTAAAACACCTTAATTTCAATAACGCAGGTGGTGTTACTGTGCAATGTGAGAACGATTCATAATCATAGAAGAGCTAAGAGCTAATGTTACATGTAGTCCTGTTGTGAGCCGAGGCCCTTTTTTAGCGCTCATGCAAGATCGTCAGTGTCTATGAACTATGCATGTATTAAGCCGGTGAACATAAAGATAGAGTGTATACTATGCATATGTTTAGTTTGCATTCCTCTGAAGTGGCATTCTCAAAGGCCAGCAATCACATGCTGCTGCCTCTCAGTGAACCACACAGCAACATGTAAACAACACACAGATCAAGGGGAGGGGAGGGTGGGGAGGGGGGCTCATTGTACAGCACATACTGTAAGCTGTATGGACATTCCTCTTGGGAGAGCTGGTGCTGTGACTGGCTCCGAGGCGTGTGATTTTGGAAAGCACGGGGAGAAAAATGCATGAAGGGGATGATGGGGGTGAAAGAGATGTCAGTCCCTTTCACAGCAGGATTTATGAGCAGGGGAGCAAAGGTAAACTGTACTGGTATGGGGGCATGTTTTCATTAACGTTGCTTAGCAGGCTACAGCACCATGGACAGCTCCCCACAGTCGAGTGCAGGGAGTAGATGGTAAACTATAGCTTTACAGCTTAGAAAAAGAAATACGTTTGAGTCAAATATTTTCTGACACAGTCCAAACTAAATGCTTAAGTATTTATAGCAAGACTGTTCTAGTGGATTCAATTACATTTTACAAGGGTTTATAATTTTTTGGTCACTCAGTGTAATGATTCTTTGAACTCCACACCACTTACAACTCCTTTTTTTCACACGCCTTGACTGTGACCGTGACCGGTGGCACACGTCTTCAGAGCGAAACTGGCAAGGTTATTTTTGAAAGACTGTTGTGTTTGAACTTAGAGCATGTATCCTATGTGCTCCCCCTGCCCAACAACCCAGCCACAGCTTCAAAAGATTTCAGTAGGTCACTCTCAGCACAAGGAAAGTTATATGGCGTGCAGGGAAGGAGGCTGGGAGGACACCCAGGAATGAACTGATAGTACTGTCAGTGAGGAGCAGTGGCTGACATTTCCAAAGTTCAACAGCCTCTCTCAGATTGGTATTTGTGCACAGCCGGGCTCTATAAAAGCTACATGCTGTACCTACAAAACAGGAACCTTCTGTGTGTGCTGTCACACACATGCACACACACACACGTTTTGGTGCTGTAGCACTTCACTGTACAGTCACACTTCATGATTTGAGTAGCAAATGTGGAAAGTAAGCGTACTGTGCAAATTACATAATGTACATGTGTCAGTGTGATCCAATGTTTCCCTTCTCCTCTGTTTAGAAATCTCCCCTGTGATGTTAGTTTATTCCACAGATCAATTGCACACAAGGAATGTCATGCTGCCACCAGCTAGTGCCTGGAGAGGAAGTTTCCACTGAGCTCCCTGGGAATCACAGGAAATTGTTGAAGGCCTCATGCTGTCTCATTCTAATCCAAGTGCAGCACTCCCCCTAATACTGTCGCAGCCACCTTTGTTAAGTCAGTAGGTAGTGTCACATCTGCAACACCGCCGTCACATTCAGAGATGCATTATGGGAGCTGGACATTGTGTTCCTAGATGGTGGCCATTCACGTTGGGAAAACAAGACCACAAGGTGTATTATCAGGCTATTTGGAGCTTTGTATCATATCACATAATCTTCACCTGCAGATGGAGTTTGGTCAGTTATCATGAATATTTAGATTAAATTTGCATCTCTTCCATTCATCTATGTTGTCTTAAAAGTCAAGATTGAAAGTTTATTCCCGAGAAGAACAAATGAAGAATGTTCTTGAGACCTAACGGACCTTGTGTTGAGATTGTTTTGCAAAGCACTGTTTCCAAGGTCAAAAATCTCAAAATATAATTTCTTGAAATATAATATATAGTTGCACTAATTATTCACATTCAGCCACTCAAGATGTTCCGTCCACAGATTAACAGACATGTCTTTTACAATGGTGGCCTACGGGGAAAATGATTGTTTCGTATCTGTGCCACAGCGGGCAAAGGGGATATAGTTTGGCAGCAACGTTTACACTGCTGCACTACTACAGTATTCATCTCTATTAATACATCAGTGGTCACAAAACGTCCTGTCCCTGCATTTACTTCACCTCTCGCGAGAGAAAAAATAAGATGTTTTTTCTCCAGGTGTTACATATACAGTGCTTAAGCAGAGCTGCAGTTTAAAGTGACAGGCTGAAGAGCATATGAATGACTGTGTTTGCAAGGCTGTTGAAAAAGATGTACAAATATTAGCCAGGCATAGAGAGGAGACAGTTTTACATAAGGCTGGCATGACTCTGTCATTAGCCTCTGAGCCAGCAAACTACTATGATGTCAAGCCGGTTGAAGTCTGAACAGATGGTGGGAAAACTATTAACAAGGACTGGAACAATGAGGTGAATCATTTGCACACTATCAAGTTACAGAGGAGGAGGAGCAGCTTTCAAAATCCCTCTGTTCTCTCCTGCTGTCCAATCTCACAGCAGTGTCGTTGTTATTATAATCTATTATTATCCTCAGAGCAGTCTGTAACCCTTGGTAACTAACAAGAACGATGTGAATGTGTCTGTGAGACCACCTTGGGCTTCATAACAGAAGAAACACATACAAACCTAAGGTAATTAAAAGCCCACTGGTCCATTTAAAAGAGGAGTGCAGTCAGTTGCAGGTAAAAACACCACAGAGGAAAAACCAAAGAAAGTTAAATAATGACCATTCGGAGACACTTTTAAGAAACCAGCATGAGAAACAAGGACAAACTCGACATGTAATGTTCCAGCAAAAACTGTAGACGGGACGGGAATATAAATATACATATACACTGAACAAAAATATAAATGCAACACTTTTGTTTTTGCTCACATTTCTCTTGAGATGAAATTGAAGATCTAAGACAGGTTTCTCTCAAATTTTCTCCATAAATGTGTTTAAATGTGTTAGTGAGCAAGATAATCCGTCCACCTGACAGGTGTGGCATATCAAGATGCTGATTACACAGCATGATTACTGCCCAGGCGTGCCTTGGGCTGGTCACAATAAAAAGACACTTTTAAATGTGAAGTTTTATTTAAAAATACATTTATTACTGAACTGGTCCTGAACTGTGGATTTCACATGACTAGGGCAACACCCATGGAATTTTGTACCGCTGCTCTTCAAAGGCTGTGCAAAGTTGCTGGATAAAGGCAAGAATTGGAACATGCATCCCAAACAAGCTCAATGGGTGACATGTCTGGTGACTACACGGGTCATGAAAGAACTGGGATGTTTTAAGCTTCCAGGAATTGTGTACATTATGCTGCAATGCTGCTGCAATGGCACGACAACGGGCCTCGGGATCTCACCATGGTATATCTCTGTTTGTGGTGTGTGTGTGTGTGTGTGTGTGTGTGTGTGTGTGTCTTCTGTGTTAATAGAACAAGTCTTAGATCTTTTATTTTTCAACTCATGAAAAATAGGAGTACAAACAAAAATGTTGCATTTATATTTTTGTTCAGCAGGCCTATATATGTATGTATGTATGTATGTATGTATGTATGTATGGTGTTTGTGCTTCCCCTGCTGTTTTTAATTAGTCTATTAGTCACAAATATGATTCAAGCGGTGCGTGGGACCTTTACAACTTCAAACTCCTGAAACTCCAAACGCTTTCTGTCAACCAAAGCAGAGCTGAGAAAACGAGCCTTTATCCATCTTTAAAAAAAAGAAGTGAAGGCCAAGTGAAAACATAACGAACCTAACGAGTCGTTTCCAACGTCAGCACCAAACCAGTAACATTCAGAATAAAACACACACACACACACACACACACACACACACACACACACACCACACAGCCACCACACACACAATGTTTGAAAATAGTGAAAAATGTCCTTCACAATTTCTGAGGCCAGTAAGATGTCTTAAATTTGTTTTGTCTGAGCAACAAAGACGAAGCCTGAACAAGGTCATGTTTGGCAGATTGCTTAAAAATGACTTAAACATTAATTCTATTGTCAAAAGAGTCTAATATTTTTTTCCTCCTCTAATACATTTGCACTGAAGTTTGAATATTTTGAAGCAAATAACTGGTAGTTTAATATTAAAAGCCCTATAAACAAACAAAAAAGAATTTCAGTTGATTTTATCTTAATTTTCTTGTGATATTATTATCATGACGTTTTTCTTAATCATTATAATCCTTCAGTAAAGCTTAATATTGAGAC